GTGCAGTCACCAGTGCCCTGAACACAAACCAGCCTGCCGAAGCTAGAACCTGCACTCAGGTCAGCCCCGCCTTCCTGGGATTCCCCCGCCTTCCCGGGTTCTCCCGGGGTTTTCCTTCCTGGGTCCTCCTGCCTTCTGGGAATCTCCTACCTGGCCTCAAGGGCAAACGTCCTGTTGTTACTGTTTAGGAACCATTGAACTGGCTCCTTTACAAGTGGATTTTCTTTACCTGAGTGTGACGATTCCGTGCCAGTGAAAAGATGAATATTTTTATCTTTTTAAAAAATTCCTTTTATGCCAGGAACCTCCTGAGGAGCGCTGTTGGGTTCCATTCACAGGTTCTCTGAGCCACTGAGGACCTCGGGATGGTGGCATTTTGTCTCACATATTTGAGTGTGTTGTCAGGAGAGGTTAGTCCTTGGGAAGAAAGACTGGAAGCTGGGAAAGGTGGAGGGTCAGGGAAAGGGAGGAAGACCCTCAACAAGATGGCTGTGACACTGTGCTGGAGCCTGTGCGAGGTCGTGAAGCTGATGGCTCAGATCTGCTGGTCAAAGGGTCACTGGGAGTCATAGTCCACAGCATATGACAACAGAGCGCCAGGGTCCAGCGTCCCCACCAAGGATGGAGAGGCACACTGTTAAAAAGATCTCCTCAAAGGATGGAAAGCTAAGATGTGACTTTGAGAGTGACGGTTCCCCTAACCCCCTCACAAAGTTCCCGTCAGTCGTCACTGTCTCTAAGTGGGGACTCCTAACCGCAGGCTGTCACTCATCCTTGTGCTCCCAGCTGCATCTCGGGGGTCAGGGCCGGTGATGCACCCTAACGCCCCTAGGAGGAGCTGTGACTCTGCTGGGGCCCCTGAGGCTGGTGGGGGAGGGATGAGTCCGGGTGGGGGCAGGGAAGCTGGAGGGACGGGAATGTCCTGGGCCTGGGTTTGTCCCCTTTCTAGCTGGGACGAGCTGGACAACCTAGGGCCCCAAAGTCCACTCCACATCAATTCCCCCACTGTCCCAGTGGTGCCTGGCACCCTCTCCTCACTCTCTCACAGCCGTCCCCCTCAGTGTCAGCGCCTCACCAGGTCCAGCCCCTAAGAGAGTGTGATGTCCCCTGGGCTGAGGCTGCCCCTGCTCCTCTGGGGTCCCCACATCCACAGAAGATGTTTCCTCCAGGGTCAGTGTGAGGTCTCTGAGTTCATGCAGCTGGTGTTAGAGGGGTCCCTGTGAGCCGGGCCCGGGGAGCAGGGCCAGGGTCAAGGGGGCGGCTTCCTGGACCCCAAGAGGGGATGAGAGGACATCTGCCTGGGGAAAAACTGGGTAAAGATGGGAGCTGTTGTGGCTATCCGGTCCCTTCCAACCCCTAGTGACCCAAAGTGACACAACAGAGCTTCCCAGTGGGGCGTCCAGCCTGTGATACTGGTGAGTCAGAACAGCGAGTCCTTCAATCAGCAGCTGACCCTCGGCCTCATGCTCTCTGTGGGCAGCGGTGGCTGTGGTGACTCACTGAGTGGGTTCTGACCACAGAGACCCCACAGGACTGAGCAGAACTGCCCCCATGGTGTCCCTGGGATGGAATCTCTGTGGGAGCAGATGGTCAGGTCTTCTCTCACACGCTGACTCTCGAGGACCTAAACACCCACTTGTCAGTTAGCCGCTGACCCCCAACCATGGCCCTAAGAGGGGGTGCTGGGAGGTAGACAGAGGGAGGAGGGACCATGTGAGGGAGGAGCAGTCAGGGGCATTGATGGAGGGGTCTGTCACCTGCCATCTGTTCACAGTCAGCCCTGCCTGGTGTCCAAACTCACCTCCTGGAGGGGGGGGCGTGCAGCAAGGGAGGAGGGAGGAGGACTGTGGGGGAGGAGCTTCACAGGGACCCCCTCAGTGACAGGAAGCCCAGCACCCCACTTCCTCCATCCAGAGAACACCTGCAGGAGAGAGACGCCAGCCCATCCTGTCGGAGCCACTGTGGACTGTGGACCCCTCTGCTGGGTCCTCTGCTCCCAGGGACAGGTGCTTCCTGGTGCAGGTGCACATCTGGTCCTCCCCCTTCTACGACTTGTACGACTCTCCCATCGGCTTGGTCTTCTCTCCTGCCCCCACGTTCTCCACAGACACTGGAACTAGCCAGACACCAAAGTCCCTGGTCACTGGCATGGGGACCAAGAGGACAATGAAGAGTGAACAGCATCTGGGGCCTGATGCCCTGTACTGGTGTAAACAGGCTCAGAGCTCTTCTTTCACTTCAACAAGAAACTTACAGCAGTGAGTCTGTCCTGAGCTTCTCCCCAGAGTACCCCAACCGCTCTCACTCAGACCCCCACGTGGACGCCCTGCAGCCCGCCGACTCAGCCGCGTACCTGTGAACCCTGCGGAGCCGCCCGAGCCCTGAGCACACACAAAAGGAGGCCCTGTCCTTTCCTGTCTTCTACTCAGAATCATTGCTACATTAGAGTCAGCTGTGTGTGGTGTCTGCTACGTTGTGTGTAGTGTGTGTTTGAGTTCCATGTCCATGTGTTGTGTCTGCGTGAATCATGAGCCATGTATGTTTCATGTGTGCACCTGTGTGTGTGCACGGTGTTGTACGTGCCTGTGAATTGTGTGTATGTATTATGTATGGTGTGTACATAAACACATGTTCATGTATGTGTCTGTAGTTTATAAGTGAGTCACTGTGAACATACATCATATGAATTTGTGATTTTGTGACACGAATGTGTGTTAACATGTGTGCTATATGCAAACACGTGTGTGTGTATTTTTATGTGTCTCTGGGGGTGTTTTAACATGGTATGTAACATGTGCTATATGCTGTGTGCCTGTGTGTGCCGTGTGCATGTGTGTGGCATGTGCATGTGTGTGTGACATGTACATGTCTGTGCTGTGTGCATGCATGTGAAGGGTTGGGTGACTGGAGGCAAGGCAGGGACAGAGCAGCCTGAGGTTTGAGCATCTTGGAAAACAAGGTGTGTTATGGGTACCCGAGCTGTGCTCCACCCACACCCTTCTGTTTGATGCTATGCAGGGCAGAGGGCTGAAGGACGCTGGCCAGGGTCTCTCCCAAGGCCATGGGGAGTCTAAGAAGCTTGCCAGAAGTGACATCATAGCAGAACACACCTATCAGAGGAGAGAGAGTATGGAGCACTGGGGTGCTTACCCTCAGACATCTCACTCTGAGAGAGGGCCCCCACCTGAACATGGTCTCCACGCTTCTCTGCTGGTTGGTCACATGTCTCCTGGGGGCAGGTGAGCCATGGACGCAGCACCTGAGTTCAAGCCCAGGTTGTGGATGGACACAGCTGGGTCCCCAGAGCTCTGTCCTCAGCTTTTGTCCCCTCCACAGGATCAGTGGCTCCTGGAGTCACGCAGACGCCAAGACATCTGATCAAACTACGGGGCCAGAAGATGACAATTAACTGTTCCCCCCAGTCAGGACACAACTCTGTGTCCTGGTACCAGCAGGCTCGGGGCCAGGGCCCCCAGTTCCTCATTCAGTATTACAATGGACAAGAGCAAGACAAAGGCAACATTCTGGAGCGGTTCTCAGGCCAGCAGTTCACTAACCGCAGCTCGGAGCTGAACCTGAGCGCCCTGGAGCTGGGGGACACGGCCACGTTCCTCTGTGCCAGCAGCAAGGACACAGCCCTGCAGGGCCCCCAGCGCCCGGTGCACAAACCTCCCGCCCGGCTCAGGAAGTGACAGGGCGGGGCCCCCAGGCTGAGCTGAGGCTCCAAGACTCCGCAGCTGCTCACGTGTGTGACGGTGTGGTGCTCGCAGACACGGTGCTGCGTAAGCTCGTGTGGTGACCTCTGTCGTAGCTTTCAGAAGTAACGCCAAGTTAGCTCCTCAGGTAACATGCATGAGCGCCGAGGGACTAGCGCCAGGTGAGCACAGGTGTGTGACAGGTGTTAGCGTGCAGGAGTAATGAGCGTGAGCTCTCACAGGTGACGTGCCCTGGGGCTCACAGACAACTGCGGGCAAATGCTTATGGGCCACATGTCCTAGTGTTTACAGGAGTCACATGAGCGAGCCACACAGGAACAGGCATTACTGTTTTCAGGAGTAATGCCGACTGTTATTTGACTGTTAATTTAACTATGGGAACTGTGGGCCCCTAGGGGAGGTCACCCTCCTGCTCTATGGGTGACAAAGAGCCGGCCAGGATGTCTCACTAGGTCCTGATTCACCTGCACCTGGAAAGGCTCAACCCACCCACAGACCTGCCCGTGCGCCACCTCCTTCCAAGGCCAAGTGCACAGGAGCAGAGAGGCCACAGAGCAGACATCCTGATCCCGGCCTATCTCTTTTCCCACCTTCCCAGCCACATCACTCTGGGTCACTTCTGATTTAAGCAGAATGGGAGCTGAAGGCTGACAAAGCTGGACCCTGGGTGAGCTTAAAGTCGCTGAGATGCCTGGGGTGGGGGTGGGGGCGTAGTTTTAACTTTACAGAATCTTCTGATGGTGCAAAGGGGCGCTGGTCATCTTGAAGGTTCCTCAACATTCATCGGACCCAGCAGCGACCAGTTATCCGGGAAGGAACTGTGGGGAAAGCCCTGACTCAGAGGTTTAGAATCAGGGAAGGAGTGTGTCAGCCTAGCGTCCTTTCTCTACAGCTATTTCATCTTTGTGCTGAACCACAATGTGAAAAAGAATGTGGCATCAAGATTGGAGAGAAACTCATCAACAATCTGCATTTTGCAGATGACACAATCTTGCAGCCGAAAGTGAAGAAGACTTGAAGCATTTATGGAAGAAAAACAAAGGCTACAACCTTTGTAAGCATTCTATCTAAACATCAAGAAAACAGTACCCTTCCCACTGGACGGTGGAAAGCGCTGTCAGTCTCCAGGGCACTGTCTTGACTCTTGTTGGCAACTGGTGGGTCAGTATTATCTCCGGACCTTGAGGGCTCCGCAAGTGGGGACAGTGCCTGCTGACTGTCTGATCCCATGTGAGTTGCTCTAGAAGTTACCCAGAGTATTGGCCTGACAAGCTTTCAAGAAATCTAACCCAAGCTCTGTTTAGGGAGAATGAGACTTTATTAAGCAATTTTGCAAAATCAGGTGCCAAAGTCAGACAAAGAAGCAGATTGTGTGGCCCTACACAGGGACTGCGCTTCCCAGCTCACAAGTGCCTCTCCCATTCCTAACCAGCTGAGTAAGACAAGGTGTATTCTTTCTCGAATGCCGCCTAAACTTATCTCTTCTTTTATGACCCCCCTTCCTCTCCTCCCTCCTTCTTCCCTTATCCTTTTGTGCACGCATTCCAGGGCCCTGTAGTCTGATGTGTCAGCTAATAATTTGTTTCTTTTGGGTCAACTCCTGACCTGTTACCTCAGCATTTATTCCCTTAGATCCTGAAAATGAGGCCAGTCTAAAGTTTATTTTTTACTTGAACCAAAAGGCAACATCACAACAGATGAAGGGGAAAAATTGAAGTTATCAACAATTTCATTTTACTAAATACAAGGAGAAAGGATATCAGTTTAAAGGCTAAGGTGCGTCCGATCCAAGCTATGGTATTTTCAATTGCTTCCTATGTATCTGAAAGTTTGACAATGAATAAGGATGACATCAGAATCACCAGCAAAGCCACCACTGTCACCATTTTCACCAAGCATCCTTCAAAATAGAACCAAGTGAATTCTATTTACCTTTATTTCCATCTGTTGTTGTTGTTATGTGCCATTAAGTCGTTTGCGACTCATAGCGACCCTATGTACAACAGCCCTAAACCGTGCTCTATCCTGTGCCAATCGCACTGCCTCTGACACTCCCATCCCGATTACCCCAGTCACTGAATCAATCCATCTCATAGAGGGTCTTCCCCTCTTGCGCCGTCCCTCCACCCTCCCAAGCATGATGTCCCTCTCCAAGGACCTGTCCCTCCTTGCAAGATGCCCAAAGTATGTCAGACAAAGCCCCAGAATCCTTGCCTCCAAGGAGTAGCCTGGTTTAACCTTCTCCAGGATGAATCTGTTTGTTTTCTTGGCAGTCCAAGGTACATTCATTACTCTTCTCCAGCACCACAGCTCGAAGGTGTCAATTCTCCTTCTATCCTCCTTGGTCATTGTCCAACTCTGATGCATAACAAGTAATTGCAAAGACCATGGCCTGTATCAGGCACACCGTAGTCTCCAGAGAGACACCATTGCTCTTGAGTACTTTAGAGAGGTCCCTAACAGCAGACTTTCCCATGGCAATACTAGGAGAGTTATTTAACCTTACAAGGTGTGAGGAGGTGCCTGCAGGTGGGGTGCCAGCTCTTTGAGATAATAGCAGCAGACAGAACAAGCGGCTTTCTGTAGTTGTCCCGGGATAAACACACCTGCAAACAAACTCACTTCTGTGGAGCTGCTCCGGCTCCCGGTGAGCCTGGGCAATGGGGCAGGACTGCCTGGTAGGGCTTTCTCGGCTGAAATGCTTACAGAAGCAGATCTCACATACTTTGACCCGTTGTCAGGAGGGCCAGTCCTCGCAAAAAGGCATTAATTACGCTGAGAAAGTGGAGGATCACAGAAAGAGAGGAGGACCCTCAACGAGGTGAACGGACACGGTGACAATGCGAGCTGGAGAGAGATTGTGAGGCTGGCTCAGGACAGGGCAAGGTGCACATTGTTCATCTGATCTCTGTGAGACTGGACAGCATCTACCAACAGCAGAACTGCCCCGTGGTGTCCCCAGATGCCATCTCTGTGGGAGCGGATGGTCGGGTCTTCTCCAGCACGCTGACTCTGGGGGTCCTAACCACCCCTTTGTCAACTAGCATCTGAGCCCCAGCCACTCCGGACGGGGATGGGAAAGAAGCGACCAGGAGAGGCAGTGAAGGCAGCAAGAACCAGGCTGGATCAGGGAGAAAGCTCAGTTCGTCTTTTGATGTCCTGACTGCTGATGTTAAGAGTGTTGATTGTGGAGCCGAGCAAGCTGTAATTGCTAACAACCTCAATCTCTTCTCCGTCTATCATGGTGCTGCAATTGGCCCAGCGGTGAGAATCCTTGTCTTGATGTTGAGCTTCAATCCATGTTGAAGACTACTGTCCTTGACCTTCTGCAGCAAGTGGTCTTCTTCAGTTTCAGCAAGCAAGGTTGTGCCACCTTGTGCATAACATAGGTTGTTAATGAGTCTTTCTCCAATTCTGATGCCACATTCCTCCTCAGAAAGCCCTGCTTCCCGAATGCTCTGTTTGGCAAAGGATTTTTTTTTTTATAATTTTTTTTTTTACAGAGGTTTTGGATTTCCATTCATTCATTGCTGCAATTTTCTCCCTTCCCACCCCTCCCCACCAGCTCGCTTCCCCCTCCGAAGAGAGAAAAAAAAAGAAAAAAATACCTTCATTAGTATACAATTCCCACGTCCCTTCCCCTCACCCCCCACCCCGAGTACACTTATTCTGGACTGGATTTCAAGTTTTGTCTTTATCTGTATAACGTCAGAGCCTGTCTGTACCCAGAAAGCCACGTGGTGGCGCCGTGGGGACAGTGTCGGATTCACATCTTTACATCGCTGGGAGTCAGGCGGTAGTTGGCCCTCCAGCAGGCTTCTGAGACTGCAATTCCCAAAGGCGGACATTGTCCCTCCTTCTCCCAACGTGCTGCTGGTTTGTTCCAACCACAGGAGAGGCGTGGCCTTTGGGGCAGCAGCACAGTGCTCTGCAGGCGTCGTCATCAGAGCCTGGCTGGGAAGGCATTGTGCTGCCAGCCTCAGGCAGACAGTCTGAATCCACAGCCGCTCTGAGGGAGAACGGCAGGCAGTCTCCTCCCTGCAATTCAGCCTGTGGATCCCTGGGCGGGGCTAAGCCAGGAGTCAGCTTCTACTCAAAGGCCATGAGCTTTAAAGACTTGGGAGGGGCAGAGAGGAGTTCCTGACTGGAGGATGAAGGGCCTGTGGTTCCTTCACCAGGAGAGCCTGGTGGCAGAGACACAAAAACTGAGGGGTAGATGTTGTTTCTGAAGGAGCCGGGAACTGCAGCCCTGGGAGGCCTTGAATTCCCAAGGAGGATTCCAGGTGGGGCATGGGGTTCCCTGGACGCACTTGGGGGACAGATGAGGGACACTAGACCAGTGGGGCAGATGTCTTGGAACTCAGGCAAGAGTTTCTTCCCATAAAGCCTCTTGCTGTTAGGGATCCTGGACCAGGTGGGCAGGAAGTGGAGAAGCAGAATGCCTCCCCCCAAAGAGACGGTGATGTCAGAGCAGTGACATCACAGCCTCCCCTCCAATCAGAGGAGGGGGCAGCTCCAGGACGGATATAAGACTCAGCAGGACTGGGCCCCTCTCGTCCAGTCCACATGCCCAGGGGCCATGGGCCCCATGCTGCTCTACTGGGTGGCCCTCTGTCTCTTGGGGGCAGGTTAGTCCTGGTCACAGCTGGAATCGGCCACCCAAGCATAGCACCATCTGAGCCGCAGGTACCACAGTCCTCAATGTTCACTCTGGTTTCTCTCTCTGCCCCCCTAGGTCCAGTAGGTTCAAGGGTCACCCAGACCCCAAAATACGTGATCAAAGGACAAGGCCAGCAGGTGATACTGAGCTGCTCCCCTGTCTCTGGACACAACACTGTGTACTGGTTCCAGCATGTCCAGGGCCAGAGCCCCAAGTTCCTAGTAGAATATTTCAGTGAAAGAGAGAGAAGCAAAGGCGATTTCCCAGAGCGGTTCTCAGGACGACAGTTCTCCAACTACCACTCGGAGCTGAACCTGAGCGCCCTGGAGCTGGGGGACACAGCCATGTTCCTCTGTGCCAGCAGCAAGTCCACAGCCCTGCAGGGCCCTCACCGACCGGTGCATAAACCTCCTGCCCTGCTCAGGATGTGGCAGGCAGGGACCCCAGACTGGGCTCAGGCTGCAAAGCTGAGGCCTCCTGAACCTCCATCGCTGCTCACGCATGTGACAGGTGTCCGTGCCCACAGACACGGTGCCGAGCGAGCTCCCACAGGTAACACAAGCGCATCCTCTCAGGAGCAGTACAGTAAGTTCCCCTGTAACCTGGTGCGTGCTTACCGAACAGGAACCAGAAAGCTCGTGGTGCAGCGGGTGTTGGTGCCTGCACAGCTGACGCCAGTGAGCTCATAAATGTCACGTGTGTTGGTGGTCACACAAGTAACACCAGGGCTGCACACATGAGAGGCCGGAGTGCTCACAGAAGTTGTGCCCAGGGAGGAAGTGTTAGCACTTACAGATGCCGTTCTGAGTGTGTGCGCGTGTGTAGCGTGTGTTGTGTTTACAGACTTGACGCTGACTACACTCACATATAATGAGCATGTGGGTTGTTTCCAGCTCCTTGCTATTGTGAACACAGCAGCAGTAAACGTGGGTGTGCATATATCTGCTTGGGTGGTGGTTATGGTTTCTATAGGGTATAGTCCCAGAATTGCTGCGTCATGGTATTTCTATTCCTAACTTTCTGAGAAAGCGCCATCCTGTGAGTCTTCATCAGAGGACAGAATCCTGCATGGAGACGAGGCAGTGTGAGGGAAGCTGGTCTTCCCGGCAGCCGTCAGACAGCATCCTTCCATCTCTTGTATCGCTGGGTATCTGACCACTGCCAGCTGATCCAGGCCTGAGCCGTGTGAGCCCCAGTGCTAACCCTCCCTGAGGAGAAGTGACATGTGTGGTGTAGCCAGGAGGGTGGAGAGAGTGCGGTAGACAGATGCCAGACCTCGGGATTGACTTCAGAATCTGGATTCTGTGTTGTGGGTGCTTTACAGTGAAAGTGTCCCCTGTTGGGGCGATGGGTGAAGAAGAAGATTCCCTTAGACATGGGATGTCAGGCTCTGTGTCCAGCCAGCTGGGATGTGGATAAGGATCCGTGCACGCGTTGTTTATAAAAGGGAATTCTTGTTGTAAGGCGCTGTCAAGGCCACTGGGACTCTCAGAGACCCTGGGCACAGCAGACTGAAGCCTGGCCTGGCCACCACCCTCCTCACCACCTTTGCCATGCTCAAACTCACTGTGCAGCCTCTGCCTCAGTCCATCTGGTTGAGGGTCTTCCTCTCTCTGGCGGACACTCTAACCTGCATGATGCTGTTTCCCAAGCACTGGTCCCTCCTGACAACATGCCCGGAGTCTGTGGGGCAGTCTCAGCACTATTGCTCTAAAGGTTCCCCTCATCGCACTTTTCCCAGGACAGAGCCGTTTGCTCCTACGGCCCTCGCAGCTCTGGTCCATATTCCACCAACACCACAGCCGAAAGGCCTAAGTTCCTCCATGGTCTTCCTCATTCACTGTCCAACTTTCACATGTGAGTGAAGCCGCTGAAAGGAGTTTCTAAATACTCGGCTCAGTCACCAGTGCGCTCACTCACTCAGTCAGCACTGTGGTCACATGCTCCCTGGGCTGGGGGACTGAGGACTGTGATGTCACTTATCACATGAGGAACAAGGTGCTCTGATCCTTAGCACAGGGGCCCTGACACAGCCCCCTCCATCCTGCCCGACCCACGATGGTCTCTAGGCTCCTCTGCTGGGTGGCCCTCTGCCTCCTGGGCACAGGTGAGTCCCTGGAGCTCCGTGTGTATGTGTGTATGTGTGTATGTGTGTGTACATGTGTACAAATGTGGGTGCCTGAGCAACGTGTGCGTATTCACGTGAGTATGAGATGTATGTCAGGATGTGTGTGTGCCCGATATGCTGTATGTGATGCATGTAGTGTGTGCATACCTGTGTGATGTGTGTATGGTCTGTATATGTATGCAGTCTGTGTGCGTGTGTGTATACACGTGGTGTGTTTACTGATCTGTCCTTGTGGTCTCATTGTTCCCATTTTGTTCTTGGCAGGTCACACAGGTGCCGGCGTCATCCAGACCCCAAGGCACATGGTCACAATGAGTGGACAGGCTGTAGTGTTCAGATGTGATCCAATTTCTGGTCATGCTACCCTGTACTGGTACCGACAGGCCCCAGGGCAGGGCCTTGAGTTTTTGATGTATTTCCAAAACAAGGAAGCAGCTGACACGTCGGGGATGCCCAAGGCTCGCTTCTCAGCGGAGAGACCTGAAGGGGCCACCTCCACACTAAGCATCCAGCCCGCAGAGCCGGGGGACTCAGCCGTGTACCTGTGTGCCAGCAGCTTAGCCACAGAAGAGCACAGCCTGTTCCTTCCTGTGCACAAACCACGTCGCCTCTCTCCTCCCTCCTGGAGCCGAGAACAGAGGCCGCTCAGCCCTCAGTTCCAGGGGGAGAAGCAGAGGAGGTGAGCTGTCCTCCGGGTACGAGACAGCCATGGACTATCCCCTGTAGCTCTGGATAAGAGAAAGCCCACGGACTCTCTCCTGTAGCTCTGGCTATCTCCTGTACCTGTGGACATTGGGTGTTGGGGAGACCAGTCCATAGGCTGACTCCTGGGGCGGTAGATGCTCGTGGACATAGACCATCGAATGGTAACAGAACACCTGTCCAGGCCTCTGTGGGTCTACATTTGCTGGGATTACCATGGCAATTGTGTGTGTGTGTCTGATCTGAAAGGTGGAGTGGAGCGTTTTATTTCCTGTGTTTCCTGTCTATTTGGATGGGTCACTGTGTCCTGTTAAGCACCATCCTACTCCTCTCCACTTATGGGGGTGGTTCTAAGGGAGGTAACCCCATTAACACTGCTGTTGTCACATGCACCATCGTTGGATGAGGGTGAGATACTTCACATGGAATCAAGGGCACAGAAGGTGCTGCGGGTGGGTTCTCTGCAGGAGCAGAACCAGTGCAGCAGAGATATCATTGTCCAGAGAGATTTGCTTCAAGACATGGTCACACAGCTGTGGAGGCAGACTTGTCCAAACCCGTGGGCCCAATGTCAGCCTGGAGGCTTCTACTGACTCCATGATAATGACTCCAAATCTGAAGGTCAGGAGAGGGCTGAGGGCTTCTCCAGGACCCAGAGGTCACTCCCATATGGACACAGGATTCTGGGAGAAATTGTGAGCGTCTCCAGAACACACACATGTACTGGACGCAGGCTACACCACCACCGACTCTCCCCTTCTGACTTGATTGATTGCAGAATGTCTGCCAAGGCACTGAGAGGCCTGGCACTGTCAATCTGATGTGTAACACCCATACGGTGTCCCATTGGGACAAGAGGAATTGGGTTCTGGGCATTGATAATAAAACTTCCAGAACATTCTGGAATATGCACCTTGCTGTTTGTGTCCCTGAGTGGCACACAAGTTTGGGCTCAATCAGTAAGTGGGAAGTCGTGGTGTGAACCCAACCCTGGAAGCCCACGGGAAGGTCGGCAGATGACTTCTGCAGAGCCCTGCTCGACGCTACCTATGCTTCTGCGTCTTGACTCTACAGGGTTCCCCAGCACCTGCCAGCACAGACCAGACCTCCACCCACGGCCGTGGGGTCAGAACCGTCCCATAGCTGGCCCTCCGGCGGGTTCTCGGAGCTGACCGTCCAGCGGGTTCTCGGAGCTGACCCTCCAGCGGGTTCTCGGAGCTGACCCTCCAGCGGGTTGTCGGAGGCCGTCCATCACACAGGAGATTGTCCTTCTATCTCCAGAAGCGTAACTGATGGATTCACGTCATGCACCTTTGGGTTGTCAGCAGACTCCCTAACGAGTCGGCCACCAGAGAGCCTCCATGTGCACAGAGGGTGATAAACAAGGATGATACTTAGCCTAGTGACCGCCAGATGGCACTGGTGACCCTGGCAGCTGGGAGCAGGTGAGCTGTGAGACCACCTTGAAATCACTGCCCTGGTTCCACGTGGTGCTGGTTCTGAGTCCTTGCCATCTTCACGGGGCTTCAGTATGTCCATGTCTCCTGCAGGGCCTCGGTCTGGGCAAACCATGATGACTGGTCAACCTTCTGTCCTCTCATTTGTATTATCTCCCTAAGCCGTGTTCAGTCAGGGGGCAAAGGGCCAAGGGAAGCACCTCCTGCAGCCACAGCCAGATGAATGTGGGGGACAAGCAACAAAACCCAGAGGGGGGTCCCACTGTCCAGTCTTCTGGGAGATGATGGAGCCACAGTCCTCTCTAGATGGAGAGGGACCCCACAGTCCAGTCTTCTGGGAGATGATGGAGAGGGGCCCCACAGTCCAGTCTTCGGGGAGATGACAGAGCTGCAGTCTTCTCTGAGTGTCTCACTCCTTCTACCTGTGGGGAGCACAGTGGTAAGAGGTACTGCAGACAGGGCACGAGAATGAGAGGGGAGGGGACAGCGACAGCCATAGATAGAAACAATGACAGCAGACAGTGATGTCACAGGACAGTGTCCCAATCAGGAATATGGGGTCATCGACCCCAGCACTATTCCCCCAGAGGCTTCGACAGTGATGCTGTCTTGCCCAGTGGCCATGGGTCCCTGGCTGTGCTGCTGGGCACTGCTCTGCCTCCTGGGGACAGGGACAGGTGAGTTCTGTGGGTGTTGGGTCCCTGCACTCAGAGCTGGCTTCTCCCCAGGGGTGCAACTTCAGCCCCCCAGCTCCATTCTCATCTCATCTTTCCCCTGCAGGGTCAGCGGATTCCAGAGTCACCCAGATCCCAAGACACCTGATCAAACAGAGGGGACAGAAGGTGGCAATGGCTTGTTCCCCCATAGCTGGGCACCTCTACGTGTCCTGGTACCAGCAGGCCCAGGGCCAGGGCCCCCAGTTCCTCTTTCGATATTACAGGGGAGAGCAACAAGAGAAAGGCGACGTCCCAGACCGATTCTCGGGCCAACAGTTCTCTGACTTCCGCTCGGAGCTGAACCTGAGCGCTGTGGAGCTGGGGGACACGGCCACGTTCCTCTGTGCCAGCAGCAAGGACACAGCCCTGCACAGGCTCTACCCTGCTGCACACAAACCACCTGCCGGCTCATGAAGAGGCGGGGTGGCCCCAGGCTGAGCTCAGGCTGCAGAGCTGAGGGCTCCCCAAGGGGCAGCTGCTGAAGTGTGTAATGGGGGAGTGTTAGGAGCGAATTCACGCAGGTAACACGTTGGTGCTCACAGAGCAGCAGTGGGTGAGTCCACACGTGCAGGCGTCAGCATTTCCCCAGTGGTGTGAGCGAGCTCACAGAGGTAGCGTGCGGGAGGGCTTGCGGAGAGATGCTGAGTGTGATGTGTGTGAATGCTCACAGGACAGACGAGTGAGCCGACAGGTGACACATGCTAGTGTGCACACGGTGATGCCAGGTGAGTTCCTGCATGCCCTGTGAGTCACTGTGTCCTCAGATCGCTGAGTGAACCACACAGGTAACACGCCACCCTGTTTACAGGAGTCAGGCAGACTGAGTGCTGATTGACTGTATCAGGGACTGTGGTCCTCAGAGGCGAGGCCCTTCTGCTCGTGACATTAACAAATAGCAGAGCACGGAGTCTCAATAGGCCACGTTCTTCAGCCCCTGGGAGCCCCCTGGCCGACCCTGAAGACCCACCTGTGTGTCGACTTCTCTCCAGGCTCGGGGGAACAGGAGCAGGAATGTAGGTCCTAGGTCGTGCGTCACTTTGACCAGCACATCACACTGTCTCCACCCCCAGGCCACACCACTCAGCCTCACCTCTTCTGAGGCACATTGGGCCTTGGGCATCAGCCTGGTTGGATTAGAATGAGCTCAAGGTGTCTGATCATCGGGGATACACGAGGTTGAGTGGCATTGGGCTAATGCTGGTCAGAGGCCTTGCTCCTCTTTGCGGTCAAAGTGCAGTGTCCTCCTGAGGGACACACAGACAGCGAGACCATAGGATCGTGACAGGAATCCTCAGCGACCGTGCAGCCATGTGGCATGAGCGGGGAAGGAGAAGCTGTCCGTGGAGACACAGTCTGGAGGATGGTGAAGGGGTTGATCCAGGCTGTGAGCTTCTGCGTAGGCAAGTCCAGTGCCCAGCATGTCACGGCATGGTCACCTGCTGCTGGGACGAGTGGCTGATGAGACAGTGATGTCGCTTGTCTCTTGGGAAAGGGACTTCCCTCCTTCACCCATGAACACGAAGGCCCTGATCCAACAAATCCCGCCCATCCCAAGTCACCGTGGGCTTCGGGCACCTGTGCTGGGTGATCTCTGCCTCCTGGAGGCAGGCGAGTACCTGGACACCTGGGAGTTTTGGTCTGTGTGTGCATATATGAGAGTTGTGTGTGTGAGGTAGGTAAGTTGTGTGTCTGTTTGGTGTGTGAGTGCGTGTATTGGGGGATATGTATCTGTCTGTGGTGTGTATGTGTGACTGTGTGTCTGTTATTGTAAGGTGTGTGAGTCATGGGCCAGGCTGGAGGCTGCTCCTGACCCTGGGGGGTTGTGCAGGTTGATGAACCCAAGATCTGCACGCGAGTGTGTGTGTGTGTGTGTGTGTGTGTGTGTGTGGACACGCGCGCGTGCACGTGTGTGTGGTCATTCCTACCCGCAAAGGTGCTAGAGGCCCTCAGGCCCCAGGCGATGTCCTCAGACATGAGCTCAGTCCGCGTGGACACACCTGAGGAGCCCTCTTGCACGCCGAAGACCTAGGCCTGGGGTCCTGCAGTGCTGTCTGCAGATGCTGGCTGATGGGCAGGAGGTAAGTGGACGTCAGGCTAACTCCTTCAGCATGGTGGCCACAGACATTAAGTGGACGGAAATCATTAGGTGCTTACAGAAATGCCGGCCAGCCTGCTGCCCAGCTGTGTTTATCGGGGGTTATTTACTGGAACTACCCTGATGCTCTCATGTGTGTGATGGGCGGAGGCACACTTTTTGCACATCTTCAGTAAGGCTTCACACTCTGGGGGTTCTCCGATTCTGGACTAGGCATTGTTTCCTGCTTTCCCTTTTCTTCCTTCCAGAGCATGTCTAAGGGAGAGAATTCCAGTTACACTGTCAGATACAGCATAGGAGTCAAGGAGAAGTGGGGTGGGCTGCAAAGCGGGGAATTGGTAGAGTCACAATTCAGGTCGGATTCTCTAGAGGCGTGAAACCAGGGAAGCTGATGGAGAACCCACCGTGGCCGGCAAGTCCCCAATCTGTTGGTTGTCAGCTTAGGGGTTTCTTGTCCTGATGCACAAAGTCAACAAACACTTGAACTTCAATGCAGGCAGGAGGTTGCCGTCTTCTGTGAGAACCAGAGCCAGCATCACTGCACGAGGAGGGTTGACAGAGTAGCATCAGTGCGTGGTGGATGGAGTCCACACCCCCCAGGACGCGCCCCTCTGGGCTGATTGATAGCTCACACCAGCCCTCTAAGTGGAGGAGACCATATGTAACCATCAAATCACTGAGGATAACCGGCCAGCTGAGACGGTATGAACAGTAACACCATGCAGGCTTAGGGCAGGTGTTGGTGTAGGACTCAGTGACATTCCTGGTAAAACTTCCAGAATATTCTGAAATATACACACTGCTGCCTATGCAGCGGTCTCCAGAACGCACACAAGTCTGTGATCACCTGGTAATGAAAGGCTGCAAGTTCAAATCCATGCTACTGAGCCTCTGATCCAAGGCCAAGCTCGCCTCCTGGAGATTACAGTCAATCAGGTTCTGTGGACCCCAACTCTGCTCTGTAATGTGAGATTCCTTGGAGTGAAACCCAAGACAAGGGCTTGGCTCTCTCTTTTAGTGATGCAGCTCTTCTAATGGGGCAAGGAGCTGCTGATACCACTGAGAGTTCCTCCACTCTCAGACACAGGAGGGCTCACTCCTCAAGTCAATGACTGTGAACAGAACCACTTGGCCTAGGAGCCCAGGAGGGACAGGACCAATCTTGGGCTGTTAACTGAGAGGCTAAACCACTAACTGCTTTGTGAGAAGACATTGAGACAGTCAGCTTCCAGAAAGACACACGTTTGTTGTGAGATGTCTTCCACTTCACTTTGATTTATGACACTCAGAGAAGGAGGCACCCTAGTCAAGTGTGGTAATACCCTACTCAAAAGCTCATTCTCCAGGAAACCCCTTCTAAGTTTCCCAGCGAGGACTTCCAACCATACTTTTTCCCATCCCAGATGCCATGTGGAATCTGAACGCTGACCTTCAGGTTGGTTCTTGTTTTGCTCTTTGGCCATCACAGGCCTGACCTGAAGAGCATGTAGAACTTGCCTCAGTGGAAATTTCATAACCCAAAGGCCATCTACGCTCAGTTCCAGCAGAGGCCTGGGGTCAGGGCTGGACAGTGCACCTCTGTGACCATCGGCAGGCACGGAGGCTGATGAGGGATTGTGGGACAGGAGGTCCAGGGAACGGGAATGCCGTGGTCTTGGGCTTGCTGCTTTTAGCTGGGTGGAGCCTGTGGACACCCCAGGACACTGAAGTCCACTCCACACCAAGTCCCCCACGGCCCCTTTGCTTCCAGGACCTCTCCTGTCAGGACCAGAGCCATAGCAGCCCCAGCCCTCAAGGTGATGAGATGCTCCTGGGCTGGGGCTGCCCCTGCTCCTCCTGGGTCCCCACATCCATGTGAGAGCTTCCTCCCAGGTCAGTACGAGGTCTCTGCGTTTACCCAGCCTGTGTTCCAGGGGCCTGCCCTGTGAGCTGAGACCAGGAAGCAGGGTCTGGGGTAGGGGGTGAAGGCGTTTGCCTGAGGGGACACTGGGGGAGGGGAAAGGTGCACTGTTATTTCCATGACTGTCCAGTCCACTCTAACCCCTAGTGACCCACATGACACAGGGGAGCTTCCCGATGGGGTGTTCTGGGCTGTGGCCTTTGTGGGAGAAGATGACCGGGTCACTCTCTCATGAAGCCACTGTAAGCTGCCAACCCTTCAGTGAGTCACTGACCCCTGACCACAGAGATCCCACAGGACCGAGCAGAACCGTCCCATCATATCCCTGGGATGTAATCTCTGTGGGAGCACATGGCCAGGTCTCCAGCATGCTGACTCTGGGGGATCATAACCACCCATTTGTCAGTTAGCCGCTGACCCCCAACCACGGCCCTGAGAGGGGGTGCTGGGAGGTAGACAGAGGGAGAAGGGACCAGAGAGTCCACATGAAGGCAAAGCAGTCAGGGGAACAGATGTGTTCTGTCTCCACACCTGCCTGTCCACAGTCAGCTCTGCCTGGTGTCCAAACTCACCTTCTGGGGGGCCGTGAGGCAAGGGAAGGAGGAGGGCTGTGGGGCAAGAGCTTCACAGGGGCCCCCTCAGTGACAGGAAGCCCAGCACCCCACTTCCTCCATCCAGAGAACAGTCTCAGGAGAGAGAGTCAGCCCATCCTGTCAGAGCCACTGTGGACTGTGGGCCCCTTTGCTGGGTCCTCTGCTCCTGGGGACAGGTGCTTCCTGGTGCAGGTGGACATCTGGTCCTTCCCCTTAGCTTCCCCTTAGCTCTCCCCTAAACCTCCTTGCAGGACTCTCCCATGGGCTTGGTCTTCTCTCCTGCACCCACTTTCTCCCAGCCCTGGTCACTGGCGTGGAGAACAAGAGGACACTGAAGTGTGACCAGCGTCTGGGACATGATGTCATGAACTGGTATAAACAGGCCCCCTGGAAGGCTCCAGAGCTCACATTTTATTTCAGCTACAAGCAGTTCTCTGTCAACGAGTCTGTCCTGAGCCACTTCTCCCCGGAGTCCCTGGACAGCTCTCGCCTGGACCTCCACGTGGACGCCCTGTAGCCTGGTCACTCGACCCTGTGCCTGTGTGCCAGCAGCAAAGACCCAGCTCTGCAGAGCCGCCTGAGCCCTGAGCACAAGCCACACAGCAGGAAACTGGGGTGCTGGTTCCCCCAGGATACAGGAACCTTCCTGGGCCTCCTCAGCTCTCCAGAGGCTCAGGACAACACAGCCATGGGAGAGGGACACTGAGAGTGTCGGAGGGAGGCGCACACAGCTCTCTCTCTCTCTCTCTCTCTCTCTCACACACACACACACACACACACACACACACACACACACACAGTCCCCCTCTGCCTGGTGCTTTGTGGACCCAGACACAGGAAAGGGTGGTACTAAGTGGCTGGCCCCGCCTTTCTAGAAGGACGACTTCAGGGGTGACGGTTACTGAGAAAGGGACTGTGGGGAAGGTGGGTGGGCCAGGGGCCGCCTGTGTGTAGGGGCTGTCTGTGTCCAGGGGCTGTGGTTGTTGGGGCTGTGGAGTCAGTTTCATCTCCTTGATGCCACAAACAACAGGAGACACGCTCTGTCTGCAGACACATTCACAGTCACATCGGTGCCTGAGCCCATGCTGTGTGCTGTGTGCTCCGTGTCTACCCCGTGCTGTGCTGCGTGCCACATGCACTTAGATGCCGTGTGTGTGAGGTGCTGCACGTGTTTTGCATGAATCATGCATGTAGGTTGTGTTTGTGTTGTGTGGCAGGTGCACGTATGCTGTGTGTGGTGTCATGTGTATTGTATTCGCATACTCGGGTGTTAATTTGTGTTGTGTGTTGTAAATATGCATCTAGTGTGCATTTACATCAGGCAAAATCATGCTTGGAGCATGTGTGTTGTATATGTTTAGTGGGGATGTGTTTTATCACGGTGTGTGAACACAGGCTACGAGCTGTATGTACATTACATGTGTTGTGTGTGTTGACTGTGTGTGTGGTGTGTGTGTGTGTAGTGTGTGTTACTTATGCCATGTGCTTGCATGCACATAGTACACGTGTGTGACCAGAGGCAGGGCAGGCACAGAGCAGGCTGAGGTGTTAATATCTTGGAAAAACAAAGTGTGCTGTGGGTCCCCGGGCTGTGCTCCACCCAGACCCACCTTCTATCTGGTGGTGTACAGGGCAGAGGGCCTGAAGACGCTGACCAGGGTCTCACCCAAGGACGCAGGGGACTGGATGGCCTGAGTGACGTCATAGCAGAGGCATTACAGAATGCTCCTATCAGAGGAGAGAGGGTACAGAGCATTGGGGTGCTTATCCTCAGACACCTCACTCTGAGAGAGAGCCCCCACATGAACATGGTCTCCAGGCTCCTCTGCTGGGTGGTCGCATGCCTCCTGGGGGCAGGTGAGCCCTGGACGCAGCACCTGAGTTCAAGCCCAGGTTGAGGATGGATGTAACCAGGTCCCCAGAGCTCTGTCCTCAGCTTCTGTCTCCTCCACAGGTTCAGTGGCTCCTGGAGTCACACAGAGCCCAAGACATCTGATCAGACTACGGGGACAGAAGGTGACAATGCACTGCTCCCCTATCTCTGGGCACATCTACGTGTACTGGTACCAGCAGGCCCATGGTCAGGGTCCCCAGTTCCTCTTTCGATATTACAGTGGGGATGAACAAGAGAAAGGTGACATCTCAGACCGGTTCTCAGGCCGACAGTTCGCTAACTACAGCTCGGAGCTGAACCTGAGCGCCCTGGAGCCGGGGGACACAGCCACGTTCCTCTGTGCCAGCAGCAAGGCCACAGCCCTGCAGGGCCCCCAGCGCCCGGTGCACAAACCTCCTGCCCGGCTCAGGAAGTGACAGGCAGGGAACACTGGAGGGTCCCTGAGCACCACCTACTAGTGTGTGACACTTACGCAGCTGTAACGACACACACAAACGTACCTTCTCGGTTCTGCTCCACGTGAGGACCCAGCAGTCTCCTCAGCCCATGGCTGTGCATCACCACATGCTAAATGCTTCGTTGGCAGGACGTTATCGAACGGCTCCACCACACACTTGGCAGCTGGGGGTGTTGGTAAAACACTAACGGTACCGTGAGGCTCTTAGGAAGACAGCAGCGTGCTGCAGACGAGGACGCTGGACACTGCAGTGCAGTTTGGGCCCGTTATTCAGAGTCTGGGATGGCCAAGCAGAAGGGCAGTGCCACTGTCTCCTCAGCTCCTGACCTCCCAGCAGGGTCACCCACTGATGTCCCTGGTCTCACTGACCCCCTCAGAGCCACACCCCTGCGGGTCCCTGCGAAGGAGATCTTACTGGGTGAAGGAGACAGTCAGGGAGAGAGGAGAGCTCAGGAGATGGGCTGAGGCAGTGACTGCAGCAATGGTCTCAAGCAGAGCAGAGGCGGTGAGTGTGGGACAGGACCAGCCGGTGACTGTGTCCTACATGGAGTCACTGTCACATGAACTGACTTGAAAGCTCCCAAGCACAACAACTGAGCAATTATGTGATGCCTCCCAAAATGATGTTCTGAAGAGAGTGAGGTTGTTGCCTCCTCCCGAATCTGGGGTGTCGAGTGGACCCCGAACTCCCCAGCATTCCCACTGGAAGCCACGTGCTTGACTCCATACTGGGAGGCGTTTCTGTTCCGGGAGAGGCTTGTGTGGAAGGGCGCACGCTTCCTATCGAGCCGCTGAGCTGAATGCAGCCCCCTCAGTGCTCACAGATTTGTTGTTGTTGAGTCGAGTCGGAACTGACCCACAGCTGACCCGCCAGCAGCCTTTCAGAGGCAGCAAATGGCACAGGAGGAGATTGCCCGCCTTTCTCCCTGGGAGCACCTGGTGGACTCGAACCACATGCCTTTGGGTTGAGCTTTGGGGGGAGACATTCACAAAATTCATGGTAGGATCATGGGGATGAGGCTGAGCGGCCAACTAGAGGACGCTGTGGGAAGCGGTCTGCCGGGAGCATGCTAACCCAGAAGGTTCGAATCCATGGGCGGCCCGCAGCACCGGAGGCAGCTGGGCGGAGCCCTGAGCCTCACATTCTTAGAACAGCCAGGCGGTCAGCTAGTTGACTCCAAGCCGGCAGCGATGAGTCTTAGGGTTTGTTTGTTAGCTCTTCTGTTGTTTGTTTTTTGCTTTCATTCGGGGTTTTTGTATTAGACAAGAGAACAGTTTGGAGAATTTATAATGGAAATGACATGATCCAGCAGTTTCCAATCATTTCAGGACAAATCCAGGGAAAGAACTCGTTCGCAGTGTGTGAACTCCCCTCCCGCGAGGTTCCGATAGGCGTCTGTCCTGAGACCGACCTGAGGACAGGGATGCGTCTCTGAAGGAGCAGGTGGGACAGGGCCATCAGAGAGTCACCCCACGGGAGCCACGTGCTGTCCTCCCAGGAGGGTCTGAGGAGATCCGCCCCAGCCCCTCTATCGGGCCCCCGCCTCTAAGAGCTCCGGCTCCTGTGCACACGGGCCCTCAGACTACCAGGTTTCTGTCTCTCTGTGTGTACATACATGTGTATACATGCATGTGCATACGGATGTGTGCGCACACGTGTGTGTTCACTTGTGTGAGCGCACAGGCATATGTGTTCGTGTGCAAGTACCTGTGTGTGTAAGCATGTGCGTGTGTGTACGTGTGTGGTGATATCATTGTGCTCCTCCTTTCCCCAGCATTTTTCTTTCTTTTTTCAATACAGTTTTACTTTATCCTGGTTTGCTTACAAAGTGTGTGTCCATGGGATCTTTCTCTGAGGAAAATGTTAAAGGAAACTTACACAAGGACATACCTTACCTTTGTGTTATCCCAGCAACAGTTTTGGGGACACAGAAGTTCTTAATGTGAAACCGCTCCATTTCTTTCCATTTTGATTAGCGTTTTGTGTTTTGCTCACAAGCTCTGCAGGCGGTGGAGGCGCGGGGAAGCGTGCTGCTCGCCCAAAGACTTCGCTGCTCTCTCTGGTGGCTCGAATCCAGCAGCCACTCTTTGGGAGAAAGAAGCAACTTCCACCCACGTGATTTCAGCGTCGGGACACTGACGAGGGTCAGGTGTGAGAGGCTTCTGAGTCCACGGCCCTCCGAGTCCGCGGCCATCTGGTATTTACAGTCATGTTTTAAACCCTCCAAAGTCCTTTGTTTGGCTGCTTGCTAGCATCTTGATGGCGGTCCTGATGGGCACGTAGGGAGGTTTTTGGGGTTCTGTCTGATGTGTATTACTGCTCTCCCCCCCAAGGGTGGGTGTCCTTGAGCCTTCGCCTAAGGAATTTATTAATTTTTGAATGAATATTCCTTCAATGATACAGCAATCTCTTGTCTATTTGCTGAACTAAAGAGCTTGGTGTTGCTGTGATGCTGCACACTGTTCCATAGTCGTGTCAAACACCACAATGTCTACCCATTATGTACAGTGTTTGGATGAGCTTCCAAATAGATTTACACTGGGAAGCAGGAATGGAATCTGCTTCCTAAACTAGATGCCTCTGGAAACTCTACAAACTCTCTAAACTCTACAAACTCTCTAAATTCTGTAAATGACCGGAAATGATGTTATAGAACAGAGTTCAGGTCTTTTGTGCAAAACTTACTCTGAGTCATATTTGACTTGACGACACCTAACCACTGCCAAATGAGACTAGTGTTGTTATATCTGGATGAACACTCTTCCACTTTGTACATCACTCTTTGTTAATGTACAGTATGAAGTAACCTGGGTTGCTGTGATGCTGAACCTTGTACTGTTGGGGTATCAAATAGCAGAATGGTTTCCCAGTGTGGACAGTGTTTGGAGGAGCTCCCAGTTGTAAAACAGGTTTGGAAGCGGAAGTGCCATCCACTTTCTAAACCACATGACTATGTAGACTCTATGAACTTGGAGAACTGACAATAGTTGTGAAAAGGCATTAGGTCTTTTGTTCATAGAGTCGCTATGAGTCAAGCTCAATTCAAGGGCAATCAACAACAAAGTCCTTAGTATGGAAACAGAGGAGGAGGAACAGCTGTAAGCAGACACTAGTGATTGGAACCTGGGATGTGAGAACCATGAATGTAGGTAAATTTGATATTGTTAAGAAGGAAATGGAACTCATAGATATTGACATAACTCAGTATTGGTGAGATGAGATGGACTGACATGGGGCATTTTGAGTCAGAGGATCATATGATCCACTATGCTGCAGATGAAAAGGTGAGGAAAAATGGGGTTGTTTCATAGTTAAAAAGTAATTTCTAGATCCGTCTTGAAATGCAATATTATGAGTGACAGGATACTATCCGTATGCATGCAAGGAAGTCCAGTGAATACCACTATCATTCAGATATATTCACCAACAACCAGAGCCAAAGAAAAGGAAATAGAAGATTTCTACCAACGTTTGCAGTCAGAGATTAATAAAACATGCAATCAGGATGCATTAATAATTATGGGCGACTGGAATGCAAAAGTTGGGAACAGAGAAGAAGGATCAGCAGTTGGAAAACATAGACTTGGTGACAGAAATGAAGCTGGAGATAGAAGAATACAATTTTGCACAATGATTTATTCATTACAAATATATTTTATAAGAAACATAAACAGGCTATATACATAGATTTCACCTGATGATAGCTGTAGGAATCAGATAAATCACATCTGTGAAGAGAACTGCTAGAGAAGCTCAATATCAGCTGTAAAAACTAGGCCAGCTGCTGATTGTGGAACAGACCACCAATTACTTATATGCAAGTTCAAGCAGAAGCTGAGGAGAATTAAATTAAGTCCTCAGGAACCAAAATCTGACCTTGAGTCTGTCTCACCTGTATTTCAGAACCATCTCAGGAACAGGTTTGAGGCCTTGAACACTAATGAGCGAAGAAGACCAGATGAGCTGTGGGAAGAAACCAAGAATATCACCCAGGAAGAATACATAAGGTCATTACAAAGACAGACGAGGAAGAAAAGACCGAGACAGATGTCAGAAGAGACTCTGAATATTGCACTAGAGCTCCAAGAAGCCAAAACAAAGGGAAGAAACCAAGATATTAAGGAGCTGAACAGAAGATTTCAAAGGGCAAAGCAGAAAGAAAGAGTAAAGTATTATCAGGAAATGTTCAAAGGGCTGGAGTCAGAAAATCAAAGCGTCCAAACTCGCTTGGCATTTCTTAAGTTCAAGGAATTGAGGAACAAATTCAAGCCTCAAGTTGCAATACTTAAGGATGCTTTGGGCAGAATATTAAACGATCCAGGAAGTATTAAAAGAAGATGAAAAGAGTATACAGTACTGTACCAAAAAGAATAGGTAGACACAGAAGAATTTCATGAAACAACGTATGAGCAAGAGCCCGTGGTGATGAAGGAAACAGTTCAAGCTGCTCTGAAAGAATCAGCAAAAAACAAGTCCCCAGGAACTGAGCTTGGGCTCCTGAGAGGAATGAAAGAGTATCATTAAATGTAAACAAGTGAAAATAATAAGATCTTGTCTGTCATGAAAACAAAAAGTGAACGGGTTCAAACCACTGACCTTTTGGTTAACAGTCAAATGACTGAGTCACTGCGCCACCAGGACTCCTTGGTCGTGTCTATAGGTGCTAAGCATATTTGACAAAATCCACCATCCATTCCTTTCCCCCTTACCCCTGACTGCCAACCACGATCCCTCCTCCAGAATCTGAGCTCACACTGACTGGCGTGCCAGGGTGTATGACTCAGTTTCACGCCCTTGATTCTAAGGGGCCCTCTGACTGTGCCTTCTCTAAAATACACCTGTTTGTTCTTCAGTTCTCCAGGAATAAGCTTGGTGGCAGATAGAGAGGAGCCCAGGCCCTTCAGTTCTCAGGCAGCTGGCATCTCCTGAAGGTGTGGTTCTCCCTGGATAGAGCACTA